CCCCCCCCCCCCCCTCCAACTTCTCCATTTGATTATACAGCGAATCGAGAGAAATCTTGAAAGCAATAAACAGATTTAGCGGTAATGTGCAGTTAAGCTGCTCCTTGCTGCTTTTTCTTAATTGTTCCCTTCTTCTCGTTTGGACATTTGCCTTGTTATATACCAACAGAGAACAAATACCGCTACTGCTCAGCTTGTATTACCTTTCTAATTAACTCCGGAGTTGACCGCTCTCGGCTGTTTCCTTTATGATCTCTTTTGCCTCCATTTTGCTTGCAAATCGCAGTGTTCGGATGTAGACTAATGTATTGTTTAGGTGACGTGGGATTTAGGTTTGTGTTCATGTTGGTAAGACCCTTAACTTTATTTTTGCAAATTTGTCTAGTTGTTGTTTTACAAAACCCGTCACAACAAAAGAAAAATGTGCAGAAATTTGTACGGAACATGATTTGGAAGGACCGAAAGATTCGGACAAGAATCGCAATGCGGATGACCGTACGAATATGGAGATAAACCATTTTGGACGGGATCTGTAACTAAAAGACGGCCCAAGTAGCAAGTAGTCGTAGGGTGGGTAGACTCAGTGAGTCTATAACCCTAATCAGCGACCGAGTCGCTTTTGCGGCCCAATTTCAGCGGGGCTTGTGTGGGGACCACTTCATAGTTAACGTACTACGTGGCCACTCCTGATTCGTTACGTTATGTCTCGCATATAATTTCTTCTATTATTTGATTTGATGTGTTTGCTCTTTTGAATCGTCAGATCAAATTTTTGAATTTTTTTTTTGGTGTGAACAAAATTTTGAATTTTAGTTATTCTATTATTTGATTTGATGTAGATGATTGGCACTTGGCATATTGTAGAGTAATAAAAAGGATATGTAAAACGGATCAAGGAAAGACAAATCTAAAGCAAGAAAAGTAGATGTGAGAGGTACGTACCAAAGTTAAACTTAAACATCCCATAATGCCACGTGTACTTTTAGATTCACAAAAGTTCAAATTAAACTAATACGGAATCGGAAGCAATCAAACACATGAAACCTCATGGAGAATCGACGTGAATTAAAAAGAGACTGAGCCTTTTTTTTTGTTGTTGGGTTTGACGGAAAGTCAAAGAACCCATCCTTGTACGAAGTTGGTCTCACATGCCGCACTCTTTGTCACCGAAGACCCTTCACCTTGCACGTAATGCTGCTGAAACCTATAACCCAAAGCCATACATATTATAAATAACGAAGGATAATTTCTCATTAATATGATCCAAAATATTGTTTTTATGAAAATTTAATCCAACTGTATTCGTCTAAGCATGGTGAATTTTCCTTACGTGAAAGAGCTGTCATGTATGTATCAATAGCCATATAAACAAGCCCGAGGCTCTACACATAAGCAACATTAAAGGACGAAATAAATGGAGACAATGAGGAAAGATAGGTATCCGTACCCTATCTGTAAGAAAGGTTCGGTGTCGCAGTCCATGGAGTTGGGATGGGAAGACTGCAAATGGAAGCTGCTGGTGCTAGGGCCGGCCACTGCAGCCGCGGAGTTAGCCCACAGATCCTGAATGGCGTTGAAACAGTGGCCTTCTGCCTCAAGCTGAAACGTTCAACATGGTTAAGGCCATTGGGTTAGTGAGTTGTAATCATATAAATGTAAAGTCAACCGTTTTTAATGGTGGTTAAAGTAATTTTATCCATGTGGAATAATATAAAAAGCTAGTGAGATAGCCATGTACCTTAATCCTGAGCTGCTTGTTTATGTCTCCCAGCTGCCGCTCCTGCCATTCCAAAGACGACTGATGGATTCGTGAGCAGTTAATACGAGCGCCATGTGCATGTATATATGTATATATATGTTATAATATGAGCATATATATACACCCTAATTTAATGACCATATATATATATATATATGTGAAATTGATGTACAACTTGCCTTTTTCCTGAGCTCTTCCATGTGTTCCATCATAACCTGCGTCTGCATATACAAAGTCAGACATTACATTGAGATCAATGTACTGGTTTGACGTTCCACCAGTTACTTCAGTTGAACTTGACAAGATTGATCTATATATATATATACATATACACGTATATAGCTGTAAGAGAATGTGAGTATATACGGAGAGAAACTTACCTTGCGCTGTCGGGTCATGGAAAGAGCTACTTCGAGCTGCTTCTCGAGCGTCTGTAGTTCCCTCACGTTCATCTGTCCAAGGTCTTCTCCAAGCAAGTGCCTTTATGTACATGCATGTATACGATTTAGTGGAAGCACTTTCATACATATACAAATATAAAGCGTACCCATATGTATGTATATGCCGTGTATGCGTAACTAATTTAAGGTTCGAAATTTGGCTAAGGGGATTAATGGGGCAAATCAGGCATACCTTTGAGTGCGAAGAAGAGATTCATATTTAGCTTTTAGCTTTGTGACCTCCTGGTACCAGCTCTACACGAGAGAGAATGTACCTTGAGATCATTATATTATCACATAAAAAATACACACCATAACTGGAGCTTGAAAAAATTTTGAATTAATGATCACTCGACCTGTGTCTCGCGTTCAACCCTATTGTCTTGAGAGCAGCTGTAGCTGCGTTGGTATCTTTCGATCGTCTTGCCAATTCTACCGATTTATCAAAAGGAAAAAAAAATACATAAACGGAAGAATCGTGGAAGAGAACAAGATCGAATTCAGGGAAGAAGAGAAAAGGCAGTGATGAAGCTGAAGCATGTAGCATGAGTAGAGAACGAGAAAAGAAGAACCCTAGATCTTACACGCAGGTCCAAAGGGGAAACCCTAAGTACACAAGAGAGCGGAGAAACCGCTGGAATTGCGATATTTCAGTTTAAAGAACCGAAAATATATGATCAAGAAACTACACAGATTTCAAAAGCGTGAGAAAAAGGACAGCACACGTCGACCTGTGTTGTTTTTATATATGGATCTAAAGGGATGATATGATGATGAACCCTAGCTAATTACCGGAGGATAAAAGACGTAAACTTGGAAAGACCCAGAAGACAAATTCATGTGTTCTTGATCGTACCACAGAAACATTAGAATCCGAGCTGACAAAAGCATGTAACCCCGACGAAAAAGAACCGAACTTTAAAGAAAATTCCAAAAACACTAAAGTGGGCATGAACATGTGTGGACAGATGTGTAAATGTGTGTAAAAATGTACCCGACACTGCCGAACTCGTAGAGCTTGCCGCGGGTAGAGAAGATGATAAGAGCAATCTCTGCATCGCAAAGAACAGAGAGCTCGTAGGCTTTCTTGAGCAGACCGTTCCTTCTTTTCGAGAAGGTCACCTGTCTGTTGATCTTGTTCTCTATCCTCTTCAGTTCCACTCTTCCTCTTCCCATCTCTCTCTCTCTCTCTCTTTCTTTTTTCTTTTAGTTTGATTCTTCTCAAGAATAAGCAAAAAGCTATGTAAAGAAACAGGGATATATATATATATATACACACGTATATATATATATATATCGCGTTATATGTATATTTCTTATATGGGCATGTCTATGAACCCTTCTATGTTTTCTATGTCTGGGATTTTTAGTTTATGGTTCATACTGAAAAGGAGCTTGATAATGGTACGATCGATAACATCTTCTTAATCCATTTTCCGTCTGCCCTAATTCATTTTGTGCATTGTGGCTATGCCCATCACGCATTAAAAGGACGTAGTTTCAAACAATAATCGAGAGATTTTTTTTTAAAAAAAAACATAATATATTTTACGTCACTAATAATGGAACGGTGGTACCGATCGGTTGATAACATTTCCCTCAGCGTCCTAGGAAATAGAAACCTGCGCACGACAGTCGGACCATTAGAAATTTCATCATTGTTTCCGATTTTAATTATACTATTGTGAATTTCCTATGCGTTTTGCGTATAACTTTGCAATTTGCAACAATCTGTCTTATGCTTCTTAAAAAATGGACAAACAAATTTTTCACCTACAAGTGTGTTTAACCGATTTGGCATAAGTATATACACAGACAATAGTTTAATTTGGTGAAACATTAGCATTTGATGTAATATGTAAAACAGAAAAGAAAACTCATATCAAGCATAAATGAATATATGGACCGGCGTGTATATTGTATGAATGTGTGAATGTATTAACCGTGACTCATTATTTATGGTTAAATGTCTCTTTAGCCCAAATTAAACGCAATTATATTCCGTGTGAAATGCTGATTAGTTTTTTCTAATTTTGGAAAATATTTTTGGTCAAAAAGGTTCAGGGATTTTCTGCAGGGTTTTCGAAAGTTTCACGCAATTGGTTCAAAAGACAAGGGAAGTGATGTATCGTAATCGGACGTTCTAACACAATTCATAATCTTTAAATGTATCCTGCTAATCCTCTTGTATGTCGAAATGTGTCGGTCCATTTTTTTGGGGGGGGGGGGAAAAAAACAGATTTAATGGTTAAATTTTTATTTTATTTTACTCTATAAGCGTGTGAATTTGAGTTATGATTTGACGATGATCGTGTGAATATGAATAACTTTAACAATAAACGAAAAATAGATAATAGAATTATTTTATCAAATTTCGAACGCGAAATGACACTATGCATCTTCGTAGCTTCGTTTTAGTGGGTTGTTTTTCGTATTCGGGTTGTTTGTTTAAGGAAAATAATAAAAGAGCAGATATTCTCTATATAATAATTATCGTGTCACATGGAACCTATGGTACGGACACTTTCTCGTGTTGTGGGCTCCACCAATGGGTCAGTCAGTCACTGTCTTCGACCCATCGGTCTATTGAAAGTTGAAACCCCATCTCCAGAAGCCAGTTGTTCCTTCTTCTCCCTCGTCAAGAAGATTCTTTTTATTTTCTTAGTCCGAGGTTCTAAAAAAAAAAATAGATGACTGAATCTACTGTAAAAAAAATAATATATAAAAAATAAAATGATTAGAGAATTAAAACCTTTCAAATTTCTTTCATATCTATTTCACATAAGAGCCGGTGCCAATTGAGTTATATATCGAAATTGATGAGTTTAATAAATTCAACACAATTATACTAATTGTCCCATGGAATAAATTTAGGAAGGGCATTAAAGAACCGCAAAAAAAAAAAAAACTACCACATTGGACCACCTAGGACATACACCAACCATCCTGTTGTGTCCAATCCCAGAAAAAAAAAGTGAAACGTCGTGGGGACAGCCTTCAGAAATTGCTTTTTTCTCCTCCATTATTTCCCCTGCAAAAATCATATACTATATTTGTTTTGTTTAAATATGGAGATGGATGAATTACTCATGAATATATGATATATATTTCTATTCAAAACTTACAAAAAATAAGATAATGAAAAATATTATAAAATGTAACATATATATGTATATTAATATGAGACAAAAATAGTTTTATAATTAATTTAGATTTAAAAAAAGGTGGGTGTGCATAAATTATGATAGAATTGAGTGGGGGGCAGTTAGAGATAATACCATTTAAGGAAAGGAGATATGGGAAGATCGGGTACTCTCTTCAATGCATGCTTTTCCACATTTTATCCAAATAAAAAATAAAGTAAAATTCTCTCAACATCATTTTCCTTTTTACCAGATGGTCCAATTCTTACAGTTTGAGTTAGACTTGATCGTTCTTCTATTCACTCATCAATATATTCTTAATTTTCAATCATATTTATACATACATGTTTCCATCCCTTAAATTCGATAAAATATCAACTTTATTTTCATTAAAAAATGATATGATATTTTTTTTTGCAACAGATAAGTTTTGAAATCGATGGCATATTCTCACTTTCGTGGAAACTGCAGCTTCATGTGGGAGGTGTGGGGTCCTCTTTGCCTTGTGTGGTATCGCTCGTTTGTCTATCTACTCTTTTATCCCATTTCGGACATCGTAAGTGTAGCTCTCTCCCTCACATTCCTGGTCAGACATTCAATGGCTGACCCCCACACCCTCTTTCACCACATCCTTATTCCAATTTATCATTATATTTATATATCATCAATCCGAACCACGTTAGATGTGATTTTTTTTATGGTTAACCGAACTAAACCGATCGTATATTGTAATGCGGTCAAAAACATTATGTGATTGCACATACCCAAAACTTTTTATATTTTTATCAACATGCAACATTCAGTATCGAATTAATCCCATTGAAAAAAAATCCACGTGTCATGACGGTAAAATGGCCTTTTGTTACGAATTTGGGCCCAAAGTATGTGAAACAAGAGATTTTCTGTTGTAATGGCTCACGGGAAAATTCGTGGGCCGCACATACTTCCACGGTTCCACCATGACAACAATTGCCGAGTGGATTTTTGGGCCGAACACAATCTTCTTCACAGTGAGAAGCGAAGAGAGAAAGAGAGAGAGATGGCTGAAGCGGCGAGAAGACAGGGTGGTGGGAAGCCGTTGCCACCGCCGCCACCGAGAGGTGTTAACCAGCCTCCTCGTCCAAGAATCGATCCCGTCGATCGTGAAAAGGTTGGCGTTTGTATATACTGTGTGCACATTTGCAGCTTCGAAGTTTCTAGGGTTTTTTATTCGAAGCACCATCTCCGTCTGTTGATTTTGAAATCGTTCTAGGGTTCTTTCTGGTGCTGTACTAATGCTTTCTTTTACTTTCGAATTGCAGACATGTCCTCTACTTCTTCGGGTTTTCACCAAGGTACGCTCACCCGCTTCGCTTGCTTCCCCCTTACCTCACCTTACATTTATTCGCTGTATTTGGAGCGATCGGTGGTTGCATAAATCTATCGCGATGCTTGGTTGTGATTTAGGTTCGGTTCGTTTGTGTAGACTATTTAATTTAGCTTTGGAAAGAGATGTTCTTCATGTTCCTCTGCTTTCATTGGATCCTTGTGGATATCCTGTTGACACCAATGTAGGTCTGATTTTTGGAATGTGTTATAATTGAGGGGGTGTCTCTGTCATGGGCAGCCAGCCATTTTTATTCGCTCCAAGATAGGGGAAGCATTTTTTCTATTTCATGCTGAATTCGTTAGAATTGAGGGGTGTCTCCGTCATGGGCAGCCATTTTTATTCACTCCAAAGCTTTCATTCTATTTCATGCACGTTGGGTTACAAGTTCTACTGCCTTATTTGATTAATTGGTTTCCGCAGATTGGGGGACATCATACCAAGGAAGATTATGCTGTGAGAGGAAAGGAACCAAAGGACGAGGTTCAAATTTACACTTGGAAAGATGCCACTCTTCGCGAGTTGACTGATTTGGTACGTAGAGAATATACTTTTAGTGACCTCAGTTCATACCATTAACATGTTGTAAGGGGCATAAAAAGAGGACTTGGCTCTTTTGAATATTGTTTCCAAGTGTGAAACTATACCCTGAACAAGCGTGTTCTTCTCTTGTATTTGTTATGTTTATGACTGTGTTTGGCGGTAAATAGAATTTAAAGCATTCATGTGGTCAGGTTTACTTGAGAGCGCAAAGTAGAAGGTTATATGTGTTGTTATATTTTCAGGTAAAAGAGGTTTCTGTGGCAGCAAGGAGAAGGAATGCAAGGTTGTCTTTTGCTTTTGTTTATCCTGACAAGAACGGCCGCTTTGTCGTGAGAGAGGTGAGCCTGTCAATCTCATTAAGTTCATACAAATCTGATCAGTGATCGCACCTTATCATTGGCATATTCTACAGTTTCTCTGTGTTCTTGCTACTACTCTTCACGGAACCTGCTATCAGTGATTTCTATGTTGTTAGATATTTATGGGTAATATTTACCAATCATTTTTGAACCAAGATAGCATAAGGTATACTTAGTCATTTCTTAATAAGTTTGTTTAGTGTATTTTCTCGGTATCCTTATTCGCTCAATAACCATGTGTCTGCTTCTAGATTGTTCCATGTTGAATGACATGGCTATGTCACGATATATGATCCAAGAACAAATGAGAAGTCACTGATCTTGTAGTCTTTTGGCTAATTGTTAAAGGTGGGTCAGACGTTCTCTTATCCAAATCGAAAACAACCAGAGGACAGCAAAACTCTGGCCGATCTCGGGTTTGAGGCAAGTAACACAAAAGTTCTTTTCTTTTTAAAGACAAAACACTCTTCTTCACTTCCATTATGTTGTTGCTCACCACAGCCACTTCTGATCTTTTACAGATTGGAGATTATCTGGACGTAGCGATCTACTAGGAGAAAGTTTGATTTGCGCGTGTGAGAGGAAAATATCATCCTTGTGGTTCAATTTCAATCTGTTCCGTACTTGTGTATGACTAATGTTGTCTGCATTGAGGTTTCTGAACATCATATGGTAGAAATTTTATGTGGTTCACAATCTAAAGCCTTTAGTCAAGCTTACATTATCTTCCCATGAGTTGAATATATAATTGCACGTTGTTAATTGCATTAGTTGTGTGTTGTCATTTTTCGATTCGAAGGTGTTCCACAGTTTTCAATCTGCTTGTATTATACTCTTTTTTATTTGCTAACAGTTGTCAAATGGTTTTCGACATTTCGTGATGTAATAGTAAATGATTATATCAACAATTAATTGTATTGATAAATATATGTGTATATATTGGTTAACCTGGTTGATGAAAGCGATTGGTTCATGTCGGTGGATATAAACGTTTTTGTTTTTTGAATACAAAGGAGAATAGAACAATCCGGCTCCGTCTTTTTTAGAGGCCTTGTAATAATTTTTACTTGTAAATACGGTTCCCTCTATTATCTTTCTCCAGTGCCATTCCTCTCAGTCGCTCTCTCTCCTAGGGTTCGAAGATTGTCGCGTGAGCTTCGTAATCTTCTTCTCTCTCCTCCCGAAAAACCTGATCTCTCTGTTTGTTCCTGTGATTCTCGTTTGATTCTACGCATTTTCGTCTTCGGTTCTGTTCTCGTTCAAGTTGCGGATCTCTGGTATGAGCGGTTATGGTGTTTCACCTTTGAGATCTTCGTGACGCCGGATCTTTTCAATCGCCGGACGATCTGATCGATTCCGACCGTGAGCTATTTCATTTTACCCCCGTCTGCCGTTTTTGGCTCTACTTTTCGCGTTTCTTGGTCATTTTCGCGTTCATTGCTTGATTTAAGGTTTCTGACAGGAATGACGCTCAAACGGGGGTTGTCTGGAGTTCACCGGAGTAGAAGCGGCGGCGGATCTCGATCCGCATTTGTGCTCCTCGTATTCTTCTGTGTTCTCGCGCCTCTGATTTTCTTTGTTGGCCGAGGATTGTACGTTGATTCGTCTTATGGTACGTGCGTTGCTTATCTTGTTTGGAGGAGTATGCTCTTCTTGTTGGTCTCTAGATTTTTCTGCGGAGTCATTTGCAACCGAGTATATGGAATAGTTGAACACGTTTTTTAAGACCGCAAGTGCAATCTGAATTTTCGTAGCAGTGCCGTAAAATAAGTAATGTGCTCGCTATTGAAACGCTAATATCTTCAATAATTGGTGGTTCGCTGGAATGGTAAAATCGGTGCTAGAGAGTACAGTTACAGTACATGAACACGGCATCATGTGTGGGGTGTGTAGAATTATGGTCTCTATAAGCGTTATCTGAGATGTAGCTGCACTGCAAATGGATGCCTTTTGTCCGTTATTCTGTTGTGTTCAAGTGGGAAAGTTGACCTGGGTTAATGTGTCTGAAATGAAATTCTTTATTCTCTCTCATTCTGACATTAATCATATTACTGAGTATGATTATAGACATATGCTTCGTATTTGTTATTGAAGTATTTTCGGTTTTTATGACAACTACATAATATATATGGATTTTGATGCCATTTCTCTATTCACCCTTTTTTTTGTCACCGCTAAAAAACACTTGGATGATTTAGATATTGTGCAGTCTCTGTCTGTTTTGCTGTCCATCTCATGACCTTAAATTTGTTACTGCTGCAGATCAGAATGGTTATTCAAGTGCTTCTACAAAGCAGGTTTGCCAAGACTCTTTCTGTTTGTATGTTTTTTAGTTTTCAGAAAATATGGAATTTTAATTTGAATGACTTTTGCAGAACCTTGGCTGGAGAGAACGGTTGGCGTTGCAATCTGTTAGATCTCTATTCTCAAAGGAGGCAAGTCTTATTGGGTGAAAATTCAGTTTGACATTTATTTTCTTCTTGTCAGTTTGTCAAAGATTCGCCTGTTTCTCAGTATAATTTATTTTCAGGTTCTCGATGTCGTTACCAGCAGCACAGCTGATTTGGGTCCTTTAAGCCTTGATTCTTTCAAGAAAAACAATTTGTCTGCGTCATGGAATGTAATCGGAGTACAGACATCATATAGGAATGGTATTTTTTCAGAAGTAAGGGTGGCACTTTATTTTCTTTTATCCCTGGAAGCACTATTTTTGGTTTCATCTTTGGTGTTTTTACCTCAAAGATTTCAACTCAGTGTTTTTCATCTTATGTTTTCCTCAAAGCAACATCAAACAACTCCAGATGTCAAATCTATTACCCCAAAGGACAAAATTGTGAGACCTCCAAAAGGTAGTGTTTTTAATGGATGTTCTATGTTCAGTTTCGGTATTTTTCATCTCTGAGTGTAGTTGATATTCTTGATGCAGACAGTAGCCATACAAGAGCTGAGACACCTGCTAAAATTTACAGAAGGGTAAATATTATCTTTAAAGATTTGTAAGAAAATTCTTGCACCCGTCCTAATGCAATCATTATTTATGTTGCTGGAAGCAATGTTTTTATGTGCCAGTGCTTTGTGATCAACGTATTCTTTTTATCTTTTATAAATTGCAGCAACTACGGGAGAAAAGACGAGAAGTGCGGGCCAAAGAGTTGGTGCAGCATAATGATGAAACAGTCTTGAAACTTGAAAATGCAGCCATTGAACGCTCCAAGTCTGTGGATTCTGCTGTCCTTGGAAAATATAGTATTTGGAGAAGAGACAATGTGAATGAGAATTCTGATTCAAACGTGCGCTTGATGCGAGACCAAATAATAATGGCTAGGGTTTATAGTGGTATTGCAAAATTGAAGAGCAAGTTCGATTTGTTCCAAGACCTTCAGGTTCGAATTAAAGAAAGCCAACGTGCTCTAGGGGAATTAACATCTGATGCTGATTTGCCTCGCAGGTATTATTCCTTTTGTGTGGTTTCTCTGTGTTGCCTTATGAGTGTTTTAGCCATTGTCATTTTTTCAAGGTTTGTACTTTCTGCCATTACATTCTTTAATTATTTTTCATTTAGCGCCCCGGATAAAATCAGAGCCATGGGTCAAGTTTTGTCTAAAGCCAAGGAACAGTTATATGACTGCAAGCTGGTTACCGGCAAGCTGAGAGCAATGCTTCAAACTGCAGATGAACAAGTTAGGAGCTTAAAGAAGCAGAGCACTTTCCTGGCTCAGCTAGCGGCGAAAACGATTCCTAATCCTATCCATTGCCTGTCAATGCGCCTAACCATTGACTACTATCTTCTTCCTCTGGAGAAAAGGAAGTTCCCTCAGAGTGAAAATCTGGAGAACCCGAATCTTTACCATTATGCCCTCTTTTCGGATAATGTACTAGCTGCATCAGTCGTTGTTAACTCGGCCATCACAAATGCCAAGGTATATTAGTTTTCTCTTTACAACTAAGTGGTGTATTTTGTATGCTTTATTCGAGTGGCATTATTTCCAATTCAGAGATAAATGGCAGTGCTGAGCTTAAATAAGAATATGAGCTCCTTTGCTAAGATTTTTCTTGTTTCCCATTGCAGGATCCTTCCAAGCATGTCTTTCACCTTGTTACAGATAAGCTTAATTTTGGAGCGATGAATATGTGGTTCCTCTTAAACCCTCCTGGAAAGGCCACTATCCACGTTGAAAATGTTGATGAGTTTAAGTGGCTTAATTCATCATATTGCCCTGTTCTGCGGCAGCTGGAATCTGCAGCTATGAGAGAATACTATTTTAAGGCTGATCATCCAACAACTCTCTCGTCAGGCTCTTCAAATCTCAAGTATAGGAACCCAAAGTATCTATCCATGTTGAATCACTTGAGATTCTACCTGCCCGAGGTTTATCCCAAGTTGGACAAGATCTTGTTCCTTGACGATGACATTGTCGTTCAGAAAGACTTGACTCCACTATGGGAGGTGGATCTCAAAGGCAAAGTCAACGGCGCCGTTGAAACATGCGGGGAGAGTTTTCACCGGTTTGACAAGTATCTGAACTTTTCAAACCCTCATATCGCAAGGAATTTCAATCCCAATGCTTGTGGTTGGGCTTACGGGATGAACATGTTTGACTTGAAGGAGTGGAAAAAGAGGGATATCACTGGCATATACCATAAGTGGCAAAACATGGTAAGGTTCTTCATCCTATTTCCACTTTTTTTTTTCAATTTAATTTTCGGGACGATGGCTTTATGGAATGACCTGCTTTTTGACGTTCTGGAGCGGTCTTTGCAGTTTCCAGCACTAAACACTGTATGCCGGCCCTTATGACAGTTGTTGATGATGCTTACGTTCGTTTGTTTTGTTGTTGGTGGTGGGTGTTTCAGAATGAGAATAGGACACTGTGGAAACTGGGGACGTTGCCGCCGGGGCTGATAACATTCTATGGGCTAACACACCCACTGAACAAGGCGTGGCATGTGCTGGGACTGGGTTACAACCCAAGCATCGATAAGAAAGAGATCGAGAATGCGGCAGTTATACACTACAACGGCAATATGAAACCCTGGCTGGAGTTGGCCATGTCCAAATACCGACCCTACTGGACCAAGTACATCAAGTATGATCATCCTTACGTTCGCAGATGCAACCTCAGTGAATGAGCTCAGGTCTCTCTCTCTCTCTCAGGTTATTCTTCTTATTATTCTTATTACAACCAGGTATTTCCCTGATTCCTTTCTGCTGCCCCCAAAAATTTTCTATAATGGTTTTTTTTTTTCTTAATTCTTTCGTAAAACCCGTTCTTACTGATATTTCACCGCTGGGAAACCATTGTATTTAGATGCTGCATCGAGGACTTATGAAAAAGCCTGCGGTCTCCTCAATCTTGTCATATGTTTATGCTGCTTTGCTTCTGTATGTGCAGTCTTTTGGTTAAGTGCTGTGGGACTTCCGATGAAGCTAGTGGTGGATTACTACTGAAATACCGTAGGCTTGTTGTTAGTTTGCCTACCCTTTTGCCGTTTATGATCGTCTTAAATTTCAAGCCGGACTCTATTGGCCACCGTGGATGCATTTAAGACGGTTGCAGCCAAGCAGTAGTCTTACATGGGCCGGTGGCCGGTTTCGTCAACCCCTAAACATCGGTCCAGTGAGACCCAACAACGTCCATCACAAGACGGCCTAATTAAAATACAAAAAAGCACAACGAAGGCCCATAACTTCTTGATTGAGCCTCGGTGTGAGCGCAACTCAGGCCAATAACTTCTAAATTAGGCCCAACATAGGTCCTTAAATTGACCCATAACTACTAAATTAGGCTCAACAAAGGCCCATAATTTCGAAATTGGGTCTCAAAGTGAGCCCAATAAAGACCCACAATATCTTAATTGGGCCTCAGAGTGAGCCCAACTAAGGCCCATAGTATCTTAATTGGGCCTCAGAGTGAGGCCAACACGACGAAGGCCCATAGCGTCTAAACTAGGCCCATCATAGGCCCATAACTTCTAAATTAGGCTTTCTAAATTGGGCCTCTGAGTGAGCCCAACTAAGGCCCATAATATCTAAATCGGGCCTCAGAGTGAACCGAATGAAGGCCCATAAAATCTAAATCGGGCCTCAGAGTGAGCCCAACTAAGGCCCATAGTATCTTCATTGGGCCTCAGAGTGAGGCCAACACAACGAAGGGCCATAGCTTCTAAACTAGGCCCATAACTTCTAAATTAGGCTTTCTAAATTGGGCCTCAGAGTGAGCCCAACTAAGGCCCATAATATCTTAATCGGGCCTCAGAGTGAACCGAATGAAGGCCCATAAAAACTAAATCGGGCCTCTGAGTGAGCCCAACGAAGGCCCATAATATCTTAATTGGGCCTCAGAGTGAACCGAATGAAGACACATAATTTCTAAATTCGGCCCAACAAAGGCCCATAATTTCTAACATGGGTCAGAAAGTGAGCCCAATAAAGGCCCATAATATCTTAATTGGGCCTCAGTGTGAGCCCAACGGGCCTCTAAGTGAGCCCAACTAAGGCCCATAAAATCTAAATCGGGCCTCTGAGTGAGCCCAACTAAGGCCCATAAAATATTTATTGGGCCTCAGAGTGAACCAAACGAAGGCCCATAATTTCTAAGTTAGGCCCAACAGAGGCCCATAATTTCTAACGGGTCTCAAAGTGAGCCCAATAAAGGCCCATAATATCTTAATTGGGCCTCAGTGTGAGCCCAGCTAAGGCCTTTAATAGCTTAATTGAGCCTCAGAGTGAAGCCAACCCAACGAAGGCCCATAGCTTCTAAACTAGGCCCAACAAAGGCCCATAACTTCTAAATTAGGCTTTCTAAATTGGGCCTCTGAGTTAGCCCAACTAAGGCCCATAGTATCTTTAATGGGCCTCATAGTGAACCAAACGAAGGCCCATAATTTCTAAGTGAGGCCCAACAAAGGCCCAAATTGCTAACATGGGTCTCAAAGTGAGCCCAATAAAGGCCTATGATATCTTAATTGGGCCTCAGTGTGAGCCCAACTAAGGCCTTTAATAGCTTAATTGGGCCTCAGAGTGAAGCCAACCCAACGAAGGCCCATAGCTTCTAAACTAGGCCTAACAAAGGCTCATAACTTCTAAATTAGGCTTTCTAAATTGGGCCTCTGAGTGAGCCCAACTAAGGCCCATAATATCTAAATCGGGCCTCAGAGTGAACCGAATGAAGGCCCATAAAATCTAAATCGGGCCTCAGAGTGAGCCCAACTAAGACCCATAGTATCTTAATTGGGCCTCAGAGTGAGGCCAACACAACGAAGGCCCATAGTATCTTAATTGGGCCTCAGAGTGAGGCCAACACTACGAAGGCCCATAGCTTCTAAACTAGGCCCATAACTTCTAAATTAGGCTTTCTAATTTGGGCCTCAGAGTGAGCCCAACTAAGGCCCATAATATCTTAATCGGGCCTCAGAGTGAAACGAATGAAGGCCCATAAAAACTAAATCGGGCCTCTGAGTGAGCCCAACGAAGGCCCATAATATCTTAATTGGGCCTCAGAGTGAACCGAATGAAGACATAATTTCTAAATTCGGCCCAACAAAGGCCCATAATTTCTAACATGGGTCAGAAAGTGAGCCCAATAAAGGCTCATAATATCTTAATTGGGCCTCAGTGTGAGCCCAACGGGCCTCTAAGTAAGCCCAACTAAGGCCCATAAAATCTAAATCGGGCCTCTGAGTGAGCCCAACTAAGGCCCATAAAATCTTTATTGGGCCTCAGAGTGAACCGAATGAAGGCCCATAATTTCTAAGTTAGGCCCAACAAATGCCCATTTCTTCTAAATTGGGCCCGATAAATGCCTATAATTTATATTGGTCTCAGTTTGAGCCCAATTCAGACCCAAGGTCCATAAATTCTAAATTGGGCTTTAATGTTTAGTTTAAACCCAATAAGATACAACGTGGAGCCCATGCAAAGCCTATAATCTCTTAAGGCAGACCCACTTGAGCCCATTATGGTCTTAATGGACCTTTGCCGTGGGAAGCCGGACAACTTGCAATCAGCAATAATAATACGTAAACTAGCAATCATTCATCAACTCATAAAACACGAAATAACCCCTCCCCCACCCCCCCCCCCCCCGCCCAATAAAAATATTACAGTACAGAGCAAAAAAACAACCTGAATGTTGGACAAGAGAAAGATACGAGCCCAATGACGGGTGAACCGAAGCTCCCAGTAGGAAGCATCAATATATCACCTTCAAATCTCTATGTAAGTCCACCTATAAAAATGTCGCAGGATAAAATGAATATATGATACCCAAAAAAAAGAAACCTAGTATGTAGTAGCTATACCCCATAGGATGAGAGACTGAATCAGGTGAACCGCAAGCAGAAATCTACAATAACTAAAGCATCAAGATGAATCGAAACACGGTACCTTCAGATGTAGTGGCTATGTAACTAGCATTTTGCCCACTTACAGAGCATATCGAACAGAGTTGACAGCCAGAGCCAATCCAACGATCTATACCCGCTTCAATACATCCATGATAAACATCATTGGTAGCGGAAATTAACAAATTGCTCACTGACTTTCTCTGGAAAGTAAATGGGAGTGGCAAAAATGAGAAACAGCATCTTCCAAGAAACGAAACGCTTCTCAGTAGTAAGAAGGATATAGCATCAAACTCCGAGAAAAGACCCACAAATGCCAGCAAAACTGTTTTTGCTGTTCTCCTTAACAAGTATCTGGCCTTCTTCTAACAGAAAATCCAATCTAGATCATTCAAATTTCCTAGTTGTATGTCCGAGAAAAAGTTATAGAACATGGAAAAATTAGAAACATACCTTGGAACCCTCTCCTGACATACCTGTTGCACAGCCGATATCAGCCAGAGAAGGTCAATAAACAAACCGACGACCACATCGTCTTCATCTTAGGAGAAGGGTGGCTCCGGCGTTGGCCACGGCAACATCACGACGGCTGCACTCATCTCTGTCAACGTGATTGACGCCGTTGCCGGGAGTGACGATAAAGCGTAGCGTTGATTCCTCCCGTCTGAGGATTCTCCATTTTCGCATGAAAGGTGAGTGAATGTCGTCTGTCGAGACCCTAGTGAAGGTTGTAGGGTGATCCGAGAGGAACCGCTAGTGCTACAAAAAAATGTAAATAAAAATAAACAAAAAACGGTAATGCATTGGAGTAGCGACGGCTGATTTCGGACCTATCATAGCAAAGCATATTAAGTTAGAGTCAAAGGTCCAAAACTGGGAAAATCACCCAAATAACCCACTTGGATCGCATCTATTTCAGTGTACACCACCGGAAAAAAAAAAATTCAATTTTAACCCACTTTTCGGTTGGAAAAGTCCGAAATACCCTTTTCGTTTTATTTTTTGCGACGTTATTACGACTAATATATAACTGATATACAACTAAAGACAGATGATTTTTTTGCCACCTTTTTTAGAATCAATTGTAACTATATTTAGACTTAATTACGAAGTCGTAATAACGAAGTTGTTTTCGAACGGATAAATATCGTAATTCATTAAGGGTAATTTCGTCTTTTCACAGGAAAAAAAATGTGTTATGTTTTCGGTGGTGTACAGGTGAAATAGATGCGACCCAAGTGAGTTATTTGGGTAAAAAACCCTCCAAAACTCTCATACAAAGGACTGGGTAATTTAAACAGAGAAGATAACAACACAAGGTTCAAGGCGCACGGCAAATTGGCGATTGACAAGGAACAAGTTTTTGCTTAGCAGATGCAACTAAACGGACACAGTACAAGATTTTGCGCCTTACATATAGCATAAAACACTCTGGATGAACAAACGTATATAGTAATGGTAAAGGCATATTTACAACCAGGGCGTGAAGAATAAACAGAGGTTTCTGTCCAGCAAGAAGCGGACATGGAAGTTTACCAGCGATTCATGTTTCATCAGCCTTCCAATGTCGGAACACTTATGTGGCCACATGATAGCATTTTCTAATTCAAAGAGCTCCTCAGGCACAACATCAGGTTCGTTCTCAAACACCACCAAACTGGCACCACCTAAGGTCTCACACTTAAGAGCTCACTTATCTACAATAAGGACATTCAAAAACTTCTGACAAACAAGTTCGTTCGTTTTGTTTTCTAGTCACGCTGTACAGATGCATAGAGAATTTCTCCTTTTAAGACGCCATTAACAAAGAAAAGAGACAAGCTAGATGAACCCGATGTGACTATCACCACAATCGCAAAATAAATTATAACGGATTGATAGACTGATAGGTACGCTATTCCAAGTAATTGTAGGTTGGAATCATGAATCAGAAGAATAAGATAGATCTTTCTATTTTTCATATTCGCAAGGCCAAGCAAGATTCAGAAGATGAAAAACTGGATTAACTTGGAACCGAGGGGATAATCACCTTTGATCGGGCACAACCGTCTCTCGACATAACGCTTGCCGGAAAATATGCGCCGGAGAACGACATCGAGAAAACTAACGGCTGTACCGACGACAACCTCCGAGAAAATGGTGCCGACAATGACCACGGCGATGCCGCGACGGCGGCATGCGTCTAGGCCATATGTATTGACGCCGATGCCGGAAATGGCTGGATAAATCGACGGTGACCGGTCCGTCACCAAAGGTAACGACGGCGGAGACAGATCGGGCGTAACTGTGAGCCGGAGCGAGAGAGAAACCGACGAACCCTAGATTTGAATTGAAGGATACGAACCGATGAGGTCGCCGCGGTGAAAAGCTGAGGGTATAATTGGGACGAGATAATGGGGCATATCGATAGGCTGTTTGAAATACGATACATTATAATGTGATTCAAATAGTTATAAACATACATGAGTAGCTAAACGGTGAAAACCAATTAAACAAAAATAAATGCAAGAAAGCTTAGAATATAATTAAACAAAAAGAAGGCTTATGCAGCAGCCACCACTCAAACTTTAATAATTTATCAATTATAGGAACAGCTGAAGATCCCATAATTTAACCTAACAGAGTCTTCAAGGGAAAGACCACCACCCAGAAAAAAAAAAGAGAGGAAGAAGCATAACTTAAAAACTTAGAGTCACCATTAGTATTTACATCTAATCCCCCTTCTCTCTTGCTTAGCTTTTATATATCTTCACGAACGTAAGGTTCAAAAAGCTTAAGGAGAGGATTAGGATCATGTTGCATGATGTCGGCAGCACGTTCGAACTCAGACCTGAGAACACGGATGCTGAACTTGTCCACCACCCGACCAAGGTCGTGGCTTGTCTCGAACGGATCTTCTATGCATATCAAGTGCCTGTCATTCCCCACCCTCCTCGTCCACTCCTTCTCTCTCTTGCTGCACCCACCATTCTCTTGTCCTAAAATCCTTGCTTTTGCTACATACATATATTCTATGTTGGATGATAACAAGAGTATGAAAACTCACCTGAATATGCTCCCAGTTCGGACCGATATAACTGAATTTGCATAATCATGGCCATATGCCCAGTAATTGAAAAATCCCCACACCAGCTCCGCTATAGTTTCCCTGTTACCGGATCCAAAATTACCGAGTCTGTCCACCTCATCAAAATATGCACATTCGACATTATCTACTGTAACAGAGTAGGTCGGCTCCATTTCCTGAAATAGAAACTTACCAGCATGAGAATTTAAACATGGGTTGAGATTGAAAGGTTTGCCTTATCAGTGAGAACGTGTTTCCATCAGTCAAACTCTATATCCACTAAACGGGTTCACTGTAAACTTCCTTCGCTCAGTTACGTCATAGTTTGCATTGCTTTCTAGTACCAATTAATGAGAAAGGCAATAACTTCAGATTGCCTTTCTCATTGACAAACCGGAAGGAACATTGACATGACCAACTCAACTAAAACAGAAGCAAACGAGAGGAAACACACCTGTAAGCATGGAAGGATTGCAGGCCTACGGTGCTGTAAGAAATGAATGCACATCAAAACATAACTGCAAAAATCAATTGGAGATTAGCATATGTCTCTACTTCTCTGATGCAATTGCAAACTAATAAACATGAAGACTGTAATGTTGAGTATCTGCCTTTTTTTTTGAGAAACTTACGCATAGCTGGACAACGTTCCTTGATAAGTTTCGTTGACCTTTCTTGTCTTTGCCCAATGTTTCACAATGAAAGCCAACTGCCTTAATCGTGCATCTATCCGTGCATAATCACGGAGAAGCTTGGTGTTCACAACAGCCAACACATTGTTGATGCAGATATCACAGGAAATCCCAGTAACCGGATCCATTAGTTTTACTATCGGGACCCTAGCACGGGTTAGTGCCTACACAGAAATTGTTCTAGTAAAAAAAAAATCATCACCATAATAACATAGCCCCAAAACTCAATGATAATCAAAGAGACAGATTGCACTTTAAGGACCCAATCAACATGTTCATTTATGGAAAAACGGGCAAATGTTTAGAGCCATTATTCACCTGCACATTTTCGAGATTTTCTGATTGCAAAATATCCGCCAGCTTTAGCAACATCTCTGACTTGTTGATATCGGCATCTTCAATTGCAAGGCAAACATCGATGTCACTCTTAGGAAAGCCAAAAGAGTTGGCACATGACCCGTACAGGTACAATTTAGCCTGAGGCCATTCTTTGCTAACTAATTTCTCTAGCAGAGCCATTAGTTGTTTCTGCTTCTCGAGCTCATCCTCTGCAGGATTCAAGGACTGGTAGACTGCAAGAAAGGGAGCATCTAGTCTGTGGATGTCACTTCGACATGCCATATGCCTTTTAAGCATTCTTAACCTTTGGCTAAGCAGCCACTGTCCTCTGCCATCAGTTCTCGATTCCTGGAAACAAATTTATAATTAGCATATGTCACATACAAAATATATACGATTTACCACCCCAAAACTACCACCTCTAGAAGTGGAGGGAACTGAAACTAACCTTGTCATAATGGAAATCTAATCTTGCAACAAATCATGCATGAAAGGAACTCAGTTCAAGCTGGCTACTTGGCACTACAACAAGCTAAGCTTTACACAATGACTAGCACATTTTCAGGAAACACATACAGGAGTGAAACAAACCTTTTCACGATGATTTCGGTGATTCTTCTTCTCATCTTTGACATCTTTATCTCCAGCTTCATCTTCAAGCAGTAAAGAATCCACAAGTTCTGCTCCGAAATCCTCAACCTCATCATCAACTGTCTCGCAATGCCCATTACCCTCCCGCATTGGCCTACTAACCTGCCCCCATTTCTCTCGACCTCCTCCTCCCTGACCATGAGTTTCCTTGTTCAAAGCCAAAAAGGAATCCTCGGCATCAGCTTCTGAGACAGAATGTAGACGGCTTCCTACTGGTGGTCCAGGGTGATCAAGCTGTTGGCTAAGCTTGAACCCGCTACCATTCTCATCATATAAACTCCTTAATCTATCAGCTTCCGCTCTTGAATTTAAATTTCTTTCGCTTAAATTCGATCGGTCACCGCCTTTTACTCTATCTGAATTTCTCGGCCAAGCACCCCTGCTATTATTACCGTACATATCTCCAATATCCCTATCCCACCCTCGCTGCTTATTTGCAAATCCTGGAGGAGGGGTAGAGTTGAAACTCCTGCCACTATTCGCATTGTGAGCATAGCTTCCCCGCCCTCCATGGTCTCCCCTACGTTCATAATGATCCAAGTTTCGATTTTGCGACCAGTTAGAACCCGAATTTGAATTGGGGATAACAGATGGGGGATGCCTCATGAGCCGTTCATGATCTTTGGCCGAACTAAGCTTAGAACCATAAACCAAGTTTCCCTTAAGTAAACCATCAAGGTTTTGGACAGCATCCCCAGAGAAGGAACCAAATACGAGCTTCGGCTGCTCGGCTGATGGTGGCTGCTGCTGCTGCTGCTGCTGCTGTTGTACTACGGACTGCATAGCATGACTCGCAGTCCCATGAAACCCTAATCTGTAAGCATCTTCCCCTGATAGTCTCTGACTGCCGTCGAATTGGTTCGCAGGAAACGGGTTAAGGGGAAATTGAGGAAACCCTAGCAAACTGGATGGAAGATTAGGCGGCGAAAGAGAGAGCGGCCAGGGAGCAGCGGGTTGACCGGGGAGATCACGACCGTTCGAAGGCCAATGCAGCGGAGGAAAGGAGGAGACGGTAGGGCCAACGGCGGCGACGGCCGGATCGAGGGCAACGGTTGGGTGGTCCGGAGGCGATGTGGTCAAAGGATCGGCGCGCTGCGGGTAAGGCCGCCGATGCAAAAGGGACAAGAGAAATTCCCCGCCGTTGTCCAGTGGGGGAGGTGGAGTATTGGCCCCACCGTCCGCCATCTTCCGCCGGCGAAGTTATCGGCAGCGAGAGAGAGAGAGATGAAACTATAAAACCTTGCCTCGGAAACGAAAGGATATTTTAGATCAAAATATCAATTACTTGGAACAGTGCTCATCGGTGCACTATATATATATATATATATATATGTGTGTGTGTTCTGATGACTGATGATCAGATCATCTAAAGTTTTTCCTTTTCTTTGTTTTTACTTTTTTGGCACAATTCCAAATTTGTTTAGAAGCATCTCTCTCATCTAAGATTTTGCTTTTTTTTTTATGGCACGAATCTAAAATTGTGTAGAAGTAGACTCATTATCATGTTTCGGTCGAACCAAGTGGTAACATGAGTCGGGTTTGTAATTCATTGTAATTTATGAGAAATCTAATATTATTATATTTGAGTTAAATTTGTCATAAAAATATAATTTATTATAAGAATAAATGGTTGACCAAGTATTATAGGTTGTGTAATAATTGATTGGTAATATTGTTTTACAAAACGAAAATGTGACGAGCGATATACCAAGAGGCAAGGATTGATGTGCATAGGATATCTACCGAATCATTGTGTTGGACCACATTATGCATGGGATGCCTATGGAAAACTTTTTTGCGCTCTGCCTATTTTAGTAATGATTTACGCTTGATGTGCAAAATCACCATTGGCTTGCATATCCTTGCCATTTCGAAGAACCTCTTGGACATATTTTATCCTTTTGAAAAACAAAAAAAGTGTCTGATTCCAAGGCCAAAAAAGATCTGGCAGATGATGACTGCCGCCGTGACGGCACACGGACATGACTAAATAAAGAAACCAGAAAATACAGTTGCAAGAACCGTATAATCACTAGAAACAGGAAAGAAAACACCAAGTGGATGCGCTTTCAACAACAGTTAACAGTTGCTGTTTGTACAAGGTTTTAAAGGAACTGACTCATACAGCAACGAAATAAAACACCAAAAGAAGATGCAAAGTTGGTGACCAGACTCAAAAAAAGCAAACGATTCCTTCAAACGTAAGTAAGGAATAATCCAAAAGGCAAACTCAGTAACAAAATATAGACAGAAAAAAATTTCATGTTATATATAAATCTCACTCAGCAAACAGAAGAAGACAACGACAAAAAAAAAAGTTAAAAAGCGTCTAAACAGAAGTACTTACTCTTGTTGCTTTAGAGGCTTTGCACCACCATTGTCTTGGACACTGTTCACGGGCGTGGAAGATGACGAGCCATTGCTGCGTTTACTGGAGTGGCCTGTTATGGTTCGACCCATGAATTTCCCGGCTTTGCTCAGTCCACTCCCGACGGCTCCAAGGCCACTACCCACCATTCCGACTCCAGAATTAAGGCCAGTTCCGACCAATCCTACTCCTGCCCCGATCCCGCTCCCCACCATTCCCACTGCGTCCATAGTGCTACCTATTACCCCTGCCTCCTTCAGTTTCTTCCTTTCCTCAAGTATCCTCTTCTCTTCTTCCAGTGCTTCCAACTGCTCCTCCTTGTTGAACTCGTGATAATGCACCTAAAAAACGACATATTCAGCTAAGAAACTGGTGAAGAAACAGGAAAAAATTCATAGTTGTGATGGGGGAAAACAGGAGAATAACCCCATATGTTGACAATCTACCTTAAGGGTTATACTTCCTCTATCTTTCTTGTCCTTTACTTTCAAAGTATCAAGTGAAGCCAACAGATTGAGTTCAATGTCCCTGGTGGCCTCGGATTCCAGCCCGCTCAGAGGCAGTTTTACAAGTCCCAAACGCTCGTCTTGACCTACGTCTTTGTCGTACACCTGTCAAATTTTACAAGAACGAGAGAAACCGTATTGGCAAGGAAAGATAAGGTCTGGGAGGCATGAGTCAAAGCATATGTACAATAGTTTCTGATTATAGACCTCAACAGTGAGAAACTGGGTTTCCTTGTCTTCTGCTATTAGCTCAAACGTTTGATCCCAAACCGGATTCAGGTTGTTCTCTATAGTGTTTGTTTTATACTTGAAGACAGGCCGAATAAATATGACAGCATAAGGGTCAGATTTTCCAATCAACTCCTTGTTCTTTAAGTTGCTTGCTCTGGCCACTGTTACGGTGAGCTTCCCTTGCGGTTTAAGCTCCAGTTCGCTGGAAGAAGAAAACAGATAGAAAAAGGTGCCAAATTATTAACGGCATGTTTATTAACAATGTCATTCAACCTCCTCAAGAAAATACTATAGGTAATAATAAAAGAGTTGGTGACAGCAGGAACATCATAAGCACAAAACTAAGGAATAAGAAGTGCAGAATTAAGTACAAGCAAAAGTTTACCTCGTGTCCACAGGAATACCGCCAATTGGAACAACGATTCTATGAGGCCACTGAAGCATATCTTTGACAATGGAATTGACAGTATCCTACAGAATGCACACATGTTGGGAAGGAAGCATATTTAAAAGATGTGTCTTATTCCAACAATAAACACAATTAACTCCACCAACCAAGAAAAAACTTACATCGATCATATCGGAGAGTCCAGGAATGGCTGTTAAACTTCCACCAACAGCCTTCAGAGTGTAATCGATTCTAGGTTCGGGCTGGTTCATATGATAAAAGAGTTGGTCATTGTCAGATTTGACTTTGGGTAATTTTAGAGAGAGAAAAAGCACTCTGTTCCGGATCATTCAAATGTAAATGTACCTCAGCAAGCAGAGCAACAACAACAGCAGAGATGCAAGGAATCTCCTCAGCAAGTTGAAAGATAACACGCACAACTGTGAAAACTTGAAGATCCTTCAACTGTTCCAGCCAGCAAAAATACTTTTTAATGAGATGATCATTATAACTTCTGCATAATCTTATTTCGAAGAAAAGGCAGACAAGAAATCTAAAGAATTTATCTCCAGTAACCTGAATGGGTATGGAAGCAACTAGTGCTGTAACACCTAAAATGATGTTTGGATTACCACCCCATCGGAGATCAATGTCCATTGTAATCTGACCTTCCTTGAGACTTTGAACACGAATACCTGCATCAGAAAGCAATTATGCATGCTCATATGCTTGAGGAAGAACTAATCTAGAAATGATGGAACTTCGTGGTAACGATAACATAAATAGTTAACGGACTTTACACAGCAGGTCATTAGCCATAGACAAAAAGATGGGAGGGGAAATGAAAAGTAGACCAAAATGAAAGAATGCCGAAAAAATATAAGCAGTTTTACTAAAACTGTGGATGCATAGAATAAAACAGGTAGAGATAAAGGCTCTCCACATAAACGTACCTTCAATTTTTGGTGCTACATTTCCCAGAGTTAATTTGCTAAATTTCAGTGATGTGATAGCTGCAGGCCTGTATTCTTCCAGCAATGGTTCGACAGATTCTCTAATCACCATAGTTGCTGCCTGCAAATAAGCCAAAAGAATAATGCAAAGCTTGCTTTCTGTTGAGTGGTTCCTTTTGATTACTCAAGGATTAGGCCTAGCTAGCTAGGGTTCTGGATTTGATACTAGATTTATGCAGTGGCCGGGTAAAACACCTCACTACCCTTAGACATTCAGGATAAACTAAATCAAGCCAGATCTCGTTGCAGCAAACGGTTAATATGAAAAGACTAGTTTTCTAGTAATCCTTTACCAAGATAATGTCTCTATTCTTCCATGGATATCTTCACTTTCCGGTTTCCAGAATTCCGAGTATATTCTTAGAGATAGCCAACTTTAACCTCTACACCAGAAAATAATGCACAGGATGTGACATTCTCACCTCTGCAACATATGGCCACATCTTGCTCAGCAGTTTATTCAGCCATTTAACCTGGAAAAGAAAAAGGCAACATCGAATAGGTTTCACGGTTTGGTATATTGGTTATCCCCTGAAAACTTGGAGTAAACTGAATCAAAATTTCACACATGCAAGAACCAGGAACAGAGGATACCTAACAAGAAATAAGAATATATAGAATCAACTAAAATGAAAAGGGTGAAAGCAAGATGTATATTCAGTCATGAGTGATTCAGAAAGGTGGACTCTACATTTACGTAGCATATCTCAATAAGCATGTCATGTATGATGCCCACAAAAATATGCAAGACGAACATCGTATCAAAGAGATCAATCACATGATGAAATACCTGTTCAAAGGCTGGAAATGATATCCATTCCGGAAAATTATCACCACAAATTTTCTTCAGATCATCTCTGCTAAGCGAGCCTAGAAGTTTCATATCAACAGCCTGCCAGCAGGAAAAAAAAGGATGAAGTGACCATTACACAAGGAAGCAAGAAGATACGCCGTTGTCACAAGGCATGAACTAACGAAGGTAACTAGAGACATATCAGACAGCAAACAGTCTCAGCAGCCAATCAGAACAAGTGAAACAGCTTGTGTAACAACCATCTGTAAAACAGACATGCTAACAGTAGAAAAAGAGCTGACATAAATCTAAGCAACAAAATTGTATGAACCCAACTGATTTGGCACATGAAACACTCCAAGATCCCTTCTCTTACCCATGATTCAGAAATGAGAGAAGGAATATATGCTCAGCCTACTCCAAAAGCAACCTAATGCTAAGCTCCAAGTCACGTTGATTTACCGTGAGAGATCTCTAAAGTGACTACAGGATGCTATAATAACTATTTTCTCAGTATGATCTCGACGAATCCAAATTCGCGAGAGGAAAAAAAAAACAAAATCACAAGTTCCAGAAAAAAAAAATCTGTCGGTGATCCCAGTTGAACCCAACCATGGAGAAATCCAAATTGAGTAAAAGAGACGCGAATAATCAAGCAGGGGAAAATTCCTCGAACCTTTGAAACTCGCTTGGAGGTGCGATGCCTCATCATGCGACTCCAACCAGCCATCAGGACAACGCCGAATATCACACCGAAGAAAATCCCAGAAATCAGCCCCATGTTCCTGCAACCAATACAGAAATTTCCCGATAATCTAAAACGATCGATCAGAAGACCTAGAGATCGAGAAACACAGACGCAATCACGAGTATACCTCAGATTCTCTCCTCAAAAGTTACTATTCTTTGCTCAAGCCCGCGCCAAAATCGATGGAAAGAGGATTTGGAATTGGCGACAAGCGTCGGCAGCACTTGATCTCCACGAGATTGGTCAGAGAGGAAACAGAAGAAAAAAATTAAGAAAGCATTGAAGCGTTGATAGGCGAGAGAGAGTGACAATGGAAGAGGGTCAAGGAGAAAGAAACGAGAAACGGTTCTTGTCCGAATCCTATTGCATTAAATTCATTTTTATCAGTCCCTCATTTTTATTATCTTTTCAATTTTAGTCCCTCTAGTTTTACAGCAGCCTCTGTCCCTTTCTGCCATTAGCTATTTTAGCACGCAGAAAATATATAGATACACACACTCGAAATCGTATGTGAAATGGGTCTATAATAGCATGACATATATTGTAATAATTCGGATTAATCATAAATATTGTTAGATAGTTTGATTTGATCTAAAATAAAAACAATTGTGGAAGGTTAAATTTTCATGTTTTTTAATTTTTGTACAACATTTTTTTTTTTACTTTTTTGGTAAATAAATTCACTCCATTTGGTTTACATAGTTTGATTAATTAACATGAACAATATTCCACAATATCAAACAGTCAGTCAATCGTCCACAACAAACAAAACAAAATCAATCTAGGGGATGAAAGTAAGAAAATGAGACAGACGGGTCTATTTCGAGAAAACAAAAATACGTGGTCAAAATTGGAATTCACCGATAAAGTAAACGGCAGGATAATAGATACGTTACGTCCCATGTGATTGGGAAAATATCTCAAGGCCTAAGACGTGCTTTACCACACACAAACCTTTCGAATCGCCGTTGACCCCCGACAAGGCCAAATTGAATTGTGGAATATGAAATGACAATAAAAGCAAGTATAATATTAATATCCTATTTTAGATTAAATCAGTATGAATATCTAACTTTATAAAACTTCTCTTACCATATGAAATTAATGTAATGTTAATAAGTAGCTTGGATCTATTATTTTAGTTAACGTTTTATACTTTTGCATCCCTGCTGAACATACAAGCTTTAAGTATATCATTTTTCATATCGAAATTATATGTGTAAGATAATTCAGTTATGTATTAATGTCCGATGAGGTTAAAAAAAATTTCGGGGTATCGTTGCCAAGCATACACGTGTCGTATAGGTGAAATCGACAAACTGAAATTAATGCACAATGATCGGTCCACGTAATTCGACAGCTCGTGTCCTATCGACAGGTTTTGGTTGATGTGCCAAATCTCAACAAAATTTCTGTTTTTAGAACAAATATACGACGTCGTTTACGTAACGGTCCTTTTGGGACAGAAAAACGAATTGGGCCTGAGAGGACTTGGTCCACGTAATTTAATTTTCTTTCATCTGAGGCCTTTTTGAGTTCAACTTTTGTTATTGGGCCCAGTCCATGAGTTTTTTTTCATTTAGGGGATTTATATAAGACAAAATAGTCTGAAATTGACCAAATCAACGCTCTCCGCCAAAAAAGTTTTTCTTTTTAAATTCATATATATTAACAGGAATTCAATTTATGTAAGTTTTAATCTTAGTAGTAGAAAGATGCTGCCACGCTTCAAATTTTTGGTTTACAAACATTAACAGACGTTAAGTTCAACCGTATCTAAACTTAATTTTTTTCCATGCATATTATAAAAAATAATACCCAAAGTGTTGCAAAAATCTACCCCAATTATCTAACCGACCGAGTCAAGAATCAAGATTTGGTGTGAGAGAAAGTCAACAGTTGCGATGGCCAAATCCCACTGGACAAGCAGATATTTATTCTTTTGTGTTTTTTTCTTCCCTCAAACCGGTCTTTGGTTTGTCCTGTTACTATTACTATATATATAAAAAAACGGTTCCTTCCATGTAAGTCTTTTGACTTGACATTCCAAAGATGTCACGATCATACAAGGCGACGTCGTAATTGGGCCGTCGCCGTTGAACTTTCATGTTTATTGTACGAATGCAATGTTGTCTTAATGTATTTCATTTTAATTTTCCCCTCGGATATTGTTATCTTCAAAACCCCGAGGATTGTTTAACCCTATTCTTATTCATTTTTTGATATTCAGTAATTTTCTCTACGATTGTCTGTATTTTATTGTTCGAAATTAAATCAAATCAACCCAGTCGAGTCATATTTAAAAAAAATAGTTGTTATATTTCCGTATTAAATCTAAAATTAATATCAAAATAAATATAAAAATAAAACAAATGGAATATTTAGAAAATGATTATTTTAAAAATAAAAAGAAAATGGGAAGAATTGAATGTAATAACAGATATTATATATATATATATATATATATATATATTAGAAAAATGCAAATTCAACAAATCCTTGTTTACTCTGTAGACTAATCGAAGGTTCTATGGTAAACTATACGGATATAGTGATTTGAATGACGCAATTAAAATATAATCAAAATCGTTTTTTTCCCTACATGACGGTGTTTTATTTGACGATGGAAGCAAACTTCTTTTCCAATGGGGTCCTTGTAAAATTCATAGTTAGACATTTTAAAACTTGCTAAACAATTTTTCCACTTGGTATTCACGTAAAATGGAATAATGATAATAACTGCAATTTATGTATTATTTCGCCATAGCAAGCTTCTCGGAACATACATCTTATGATTTTTCCATCCACCCTTCGTTTCCAAACCAATGTGCCGTCTTTCCATGTTTTCCTCCAACATGCATACCCCCAATCTTAACTACATTTGTTTATGTCTGAAAATGATTCGATACATTGCAATCAAAAGGCAATTCTATAGACTTTCACCAATCCGGATATTTTTTTTTAATCCATTCTGGTTTAATAATTATCGCTGCTCGAATTCATAATTCATTGCTAATGTATGGATTCAAAACTAGATATCAATATTTTCCACTCCTTTTTTTTTATAGAATCGCTAACTATTATTGGATAAATTCATACACGTAACATAACATATTTAATTTGATTCATATGCTTTATTAATTCAATTTTTACGTGAGTCAAATCCCTTACTATACGAAGATAGTTTATACATAATATACTAGGCTCTTTATCAAGAAACGTACAATACGTTTCGAGATGGTGTCAAGTGCGGGAAATTTCACAGAGAAAAAAGAAAAGTGCCAGACAATTACAGAAATAGGATTAATTATTGTCGGGGCTGCTATAGGAAAAATACGATGAAAATAGGAGAGGAATGGAAGTCCGGTCTTAGTTGGGGACGTTGATTAGAAGGAAGAAAAAGAAGACGCCAAATAAAATATTGTCAACTTGGTCAATTGGAATATAAGCTTTAATTCTATTAATTTATTTTCGAGAAAATGTCGACGGGCTTGTCCATGTCTATAAATTCAGACAAGAAAGCCATCCAGATATCAAAGCAAAACACGGTTGACCAATGGACTTCTCCACGACACAACTCCTCCTATTCGCGTGCTTTCTCCTTCCATGTCTCCTCCTCTTCACCGCCGTCAAATCCCGCCGGCGATCTGCCGTGCTTCCGCCGGGTCCTCCGCGTTTGCCGATCATCGGGAATATTCTCAACGTCGGGAAAAATCCCCACCATTCACTCGCCGAACTCTCGAAAGCTTACGGACCCATAATGAGTCTTAAGCTGGGGACATTAACCACAGTGGTCGTGTCTTCACCGGACGCAGCAAAAGAGGTGCTTCAAGTCCACGACCAGGCCTTGTCGGGTCGAACCTTCAGCGACCCGGTTCGAGCCATCGGTCATCACGAGGTTTCCGTTGTCTGGTTACCGGCCTTGGCTCGCTGGAGGTACCGTAATTCCTACAAAATCTCACACGTATACGAAACAAAACGGAGATCAAATCAAATAGATATTTACATGGCCCTTTGAAGTTGAAACTAAACATCGATTTACAGTTTATCAGACTTTCAAAGAAAGAAAATATACGAAAACTGATGGTATATATATCGTTATACTGTGCTTTTCAGGTTACTAAGGAAAATATCGGCCGCCCAAGTTTTCTCTCCGAGTCGTCTCGAAGCCACAAGGCCAATACGGACGAACAAGTTACAGGAACTCCTAAATTTCCTCAACGATAGCTGCAACAGAGGAGAAGCTGTGGACATTGGCCGTGCATCGTTTGTCACAGCCGTCAATATAATCTCAAACACCCTCTTCTCCATCAATTTCGCCTCCTACGACTACACAGCCTCTAACGAGTTCCACGATCTCGTTGTCGGTATCATGACAGCTGCCGGCAAACCCAACCTCGCCGATTTTTTCCCGATCCTTAGATTTCTTGATCTGCAAGGTATCCGGAAAGAGTTGAAGGCTTGTTCAGACAGGCTGTTTGAGGTTTTCCAGGGGTTTATCGATTCTCGGACCGCGAAGAGGTCGTCTAGGACCGAGCCAAAAGATGTGTTGGATTCCCTTATCGATATCGTCCACGAAAATGAATCAGAACTCAGCATGAAAGACATCAGACACTTACTTCTCGTAAGTCTTTTGCATAAATTTTGTACATTTCAAGATGGGTATGTCTTCTACTCATGGATATGATATCTAATGTCATATACGTCTTTGTGTCAGGACTTGTTTTTAGCGGGTACCGACACTAACTCCAGTACGGTGGAATGGGCAATGGCAGAGTTACTCCACAGGCCGGAGACTATGGCGAAAGCTCAGGCCGAGATTGCGCGGTTAATAGGGGAAAACGGTGTAATTCAAGAATCCGATATCCCGAAACTCCCGTATATACAAGCAGTGATGAAAGAGACTCTACGTTTGCACCCACCAGCTCCATTTCTCCTGCCACGCAAAGCAGAATCAGATGTCCAAATTTCCGACTTCCTCGTGCCTAAGAACGCTCAGGTATTTGTCGAGATATCTTCATCTAATGCCAACCATTTTTCATAGAATGCTAATAATCTTGTAAACATTCAAACTAAAAAACTATTTTTCCTGTGATGGAAACAGGTTCTAGTTAACGTGTGGGCTATAGGACGAGACCCGAACGTGTGGGACAACCCGACGCAGTTCGAACCGGAGAGGTTCTTGGGAAGTGAAATAGACATGAAGGGCAAAGATTTCGAATTGACACCGTTCGGAGCCGGACGAAGGATATGTCCGGGAATGCAACTGGCTTTTAAGACGGTGCCTATGATGCTTGTTTCACTTCTACATTCCTTTGACTGGAAACTCCAAAACGGCGTCGTCCCCGAAAAATTGGACATGGAAGAGGCCTTCGGTGTTACACTGCACAAGGCCCAGCCCCTCTATGCCGTTCCCATCAAGAAAAACGTCGGACCAACTCCTTCGGATATTTGATCCAATCCCTTTTCTTCTTTGATCTCTGTAATTCCCGGTTCATTTGTTTGATTTTATGAGTAATCCTTTGATTTACATGATAAATGCTTATTTGTTAAAATAAAATAAGCACGTCTTTTTGCAGTGATTGTATAATTTGAAACTGAAGTTATAAGCTTATGTTCTTTAAAATCACGAGAGAGAAAAAAAAAATAGCGTTGGCATCTTTATATTTTTTATTTAACTTCACAAAATCATGCAACATTATTTAATTTTGTCCCTGTCTTTTACTTCTTATAATCTTCTAATTACAGTCATTATAAAAAAATTTTAACACATGACGATCGTCTTCCGGTATGTAAGGGTATAAAAGAGATTAAGAAGATATTTTTTTTAAGAAAAATAATATATAAATACCTCAACTATTACAAAAATCTCGTATAAATACCTGAACTATAAATTTCCATATAAATAACCGAACTTTTAAAAATCCTATATAAATACCTAGATTTTAAAAGAAATTTTAAATAAATATAAATTTTAGATATTTTTTAAATAAAAATAGGTGATATTATTAACGTATTTTGGATTTATTTGGAAGTTTTTCAGAAATTTAAATATTTATATAAGATTTTAGAAAAGTTCATATGGAAATTTTATAATAGTTCAATTATTGAGATTTTTTATTTCAATATCCTGTGTAGTAATTGTTATCTCCGACGATTTGTGACAGCTCACCGTTTCATCTGACCAAAGTGTGCAACGTAATAGTGGCATAATTTTATATGAATTAATTTTAAAATTTGAATAAGTTTAATGAGATTGAACAATATAATTCCGGTGATATTGACCTAAATCCGTTATTTTTCCAACATCCAACCAAATGTTTTAATTTATAAGAGTATCGCAAAACATGTTTTTTTTTCCTTTTTATGAAAGGAAATAACATCTCGAAAGCATGTTATATTTTTAGATAATATTTTTCAGAAAGCAAGTTGAATATGTACATGTTATATCGTATTTTTCTCATCTTGATAAATATACGTATATATGTATACCTATGGGAGAGCAGAAACCCCGAAAACAGAGAGATGGATATTTCAGCACCAGCATTGTTTCTCCTCGTCTGCTTTCTGTTGTCATGTTTCTTTGTCTTCGCCACCGCCAAATCCCGGTCGAGCTCTGGCGGATCCGTCGTACTGCCACCGGGTCCTCCGCCGTTGCCCATCATCGGAAACATTCTCCATTTCGGAAAAAATCCTCACCGTTCAATCGCCGAGCTCTCCAAAACTTACGGACCAGTAATGAGCCTGAAGCTTGGGACTTTAAACACAGTGGTCGTGTCTTCACCAGAAGCAGCGAAAGAGGTGCTTCAGACACACGATCATGTCCTGTCGGCTCGAACCTCCCCCAACTCCGCACGAGC